AAGATATATTCTTCTCAAAATCATCTACTAACTGATATAGCCAAAAAAATCAAATCTTACTCTACATCATGGAGTGTAATAACCACATTAAACATGCCACTCACTTCCGCTTCCCTTTTGCTCGCCACAGGATGCGGTCGCGCCGACATCAGACGAGGAAGTTGAGCCTGGACGTAAGTAGGATCTCCGGTTTAGGGCTTACGGTTTACGGCGAGCAGAAAGTCTGGGGGAGTAGTAAGTCATGGCTACGGCTATGGTCATAGTCTGAACCATAGTAACCAGTATGAACTGACTGCTCGCACAAAAAGACAGGAAAACGATGGTGACAGCCGCAATGAATTCGATAAGAACGGCTTCGAGCACCCTGAACACCCAACCCTAAAATCTAAATCCCTCGGGCCCAGAGTGATGTGCGTTGAAACCCCAATCCCAGACCCCTCAAACCGCTCAAACCGTAACTGCAACCTAACTCCCAAACCCATCAAAGCATCAGCCCTTGACCACAAATTCTCCACTGCACATCTGCAGCCTTTAGCTCGGCGCCAACGCTGCGCCGGACGAAAAGAGGCTCCTCTTGAAAGTTCTATTGCTTTTAGGGCTTGAGGGTTTGGGTTTTAGGGCTGGATTGATGTCAGGTATCCTGGGGATTTAGGATTGAGGGATGTACTGTTCCTGGTCAAGGGACGCCTAGAAACTAACCAGTCCCAGCCGAAAGCCTCAACCCTCAACACTAAACCCTAAACCCTAAACCTGAAACCCTATATGACCCCATTGTAATAGTTTCCATGTTCTTTTCCATTACCCCTACATAACCCCAACATAACCCCAACATAACCCTAATATAACCCTATATATCCCTTTCAAGGGGCCTAGGGTTTCCATTTTCTTTTCCATTATCCCTATATAACCCAAATATAACTCCAACATAACCCCCAAAACCCGACCCTGCCTCGACAGCTGCAATGGCTAAGGCAGCTCCCAGTCCAGATCCTGCGAATGCAAGATTATCCCCATATAACCCTTATAGGTTTAGGGTTTAGGGTTTAGGGTAACCCCTATAAGAATCACTACAATAATCCCTTTAACATTCCCTATATAACCCCTAGATAACCCTTATAGAAAACCCTATATGACCCCTTTAACAATCCCTACATAATCCGACGGAATGCAGGCCTGCGTTTGTAATTGAAGACAAGCCTTTTTTTTCACGTTTCTAAGGGTCGAAACCACAAAAAGCATATGCCACATTCTGGATGGTCTGCTGGCTGTCTATGCATTATTTCCATGTTGGTTTAGGATAATTAGCAACAGCTCCCCCCAAAATAGTCTTCTGTACTCATACTTATATATATATACACACATATATATATATTTACACTTATATAAATATGTATATGTGTATATGTGTATACATACCCTATTCGTTGGATTCTGCGATATTGCACAGGTCCCTTCTTGGGGAGGGCCAGAGCGAGGACTGGAATGTCTTGGGGCGCCCTAACAACTCAACAAGCCTACGGGATCCCTTTCCAGGACTACTCAAAGACCTAGTCATGTCCCGAAACATCCACAGGAAAAGGTCTTGCAGTAGGCTGCTCCAAAATACCCTAAACCCTAGACCGTAAACCCTAGACCCTAAACCCTAGGTCCTGTCGCAACGAAGGCAAAGTTGCCGGGCACCCAACACCCAGAGCGCACCCTCGGAAGGCACTCCCAGGAAGGACCAAATGCGAGGTGCAACCTTAACGCCGGCAATCTCGCTCAGGCTTTCACATTGCGCCAGGCTAGCAAAGAGCATGAAGTCAAATAAGTGCCGTGCCTCAAGGGGGAAGTTCCTGAGCAACCTGCCAGAACAGGGAACGGTAAGTTGACTTGTGAATGACAAGGGCTCTCGCTGAGGGATTGGTCATCACACCTGTGTAGGATTATCCGCCAGCGCCAAATCTCATCCCGAGCACCTGGCAAGCAAGTACTAGCAGCCGTGGGTAGTAGTGGCAGTGACTGTGGCAGTGGCAGTACTAAGAGCATCAGCAGCAATGGCAGCAGCAGCACTTGCAGGAGCTAGTGCAGCAGCAGCCGCAGTATTTGAAGGATGAGGAGCAGCATGGCGTACAGTAGCAAGCGCTGGTTCACAGATCAATTTGCTCCCATATGCTGGAGCTGGGACAAGTTAGACTTTACTTCAAATGGCCAACACCCTGCCAAGCAGGCTACACAGCCACAATATATCCACAACAAGTTCGCAGACAAGTGCAGAACACAAATCCGGGCCAGAGCCAAAGCTGAGCTCAAAGCCAGGATGGCTAACGGCTTGCGGCTCTCTTGTGCCAACCTTCAGATTCGCAGTGCCAACGCATAACAGATGTGCCTATGCTGACACGTAAGGTTCGGGCTACAGTCTCGGTCTTAATGACACAGTCAGCGCAACATCGCGCCTAACAAAGAATGTCAGCAACACTGGCAGGCCACTGCAGAGCAATTCTGAGCCTTGATTGGCTTAAAGTTCTGATTCGCAGCAAAGTTGGAAGCTGGCAGCGCTCGACCGCCTCGAACGGCTGACTATTACATGAGAATGCTTCGAAACGGAAATGATTTGGATCCCAAAAAAAATTGCCAGCAAATTGCAGAACTGGGCCCCTGACAATGGGCGCATGAGATTGTGCCCTCCTTGGCCAATGCTGTCAATGTATTGGGTCCGCAGCTGCCTGCCTACGGTACCCACTGGATTGATTGCAGGCGGCGGACAAGCGCTAGACAACAGTTCACTCTTCGAACGACAGTCTACAGTGATGCGCACATTGTTGGTCGGGACTCCAAGCCCCAATTCCTCAAGTTTTGAAAAGTCCCACATGGTTGCGAGACTGGCTATATGGCGGCGGTGGGCTTTAGACGTTCTAGCGGTGCTTCCTGCGAGCCACCTAAACTCTGACTGCACGCACTGCCCCAGCAACACCACAACAAGAGAGATGTGCAAGCCAGCACATCCACCCTTAAGCCGCTAGATCTCTGAACGTTGAAATGGCCGCATAGTTCCAACAAAAGGAAAGGAAACGCAACCCGTGATTCTTGGATCCCGCACACAGCGCTTGCAGAGCCGCTGCAAGTCAGCAACCTTTCATTGGTCTGTCTGCACCAAACTAGCCCATACTTCTGAAGCCCCCAGCCTGGAGTCCGAAAACTGCTGCAAAGGCAGGGCAGGCTCATTAAAGCTTTAATACACTTGCCATCTCTTTTATCCAAGCTTAGTGCACCGCACCTCTCGCAGGGCCGCAGCAGTGAAGGAGCTGAAGCAAAGAGCAAGAAACCAAGACTCCATGTTGTGTCTACACAGGAGAGCATCGAGCAAGGCGAATCACACTTGTGCCGCAGCCTGCCCGGTAAAACAAGCCGACATCTGCTGCAGTAGGCATGTGGCTGCGAGCGTCCCATTTTGCACGCTCGAACTGTGATTATGCTAGTGAGGAGTTATGCTTGCTTCGACAAACAACCTGCGGATACTGAAATCATCTCGGGACATCTAGAGGGATTCCAGATGCGGCACGCGTTCCCAATACGATACTGCGCTGCATCATGCAACTTCTCTGCAATAGAACATCTACCGACCATGCACATGTTTTCCACGGAGCCTGAGCTACGGATACGGGAGTTCTAGTAAACACCTACCCAGAAACAGAACTGTGCATGCTGTCTAGAGGAATGAACTGGTCGTCTGATTCGTACGTATCAGTGCTGGCAGTGGTGGTGGTAATAGTGGTAGCCTGAGGAGAAATAGGAGTAGGGGTACGCGAGTGAGGAGGAGGAGGAGTCGGAGTAGGAGTAGTAGGAGTAGGAGTAAGTAGGAAGAGTAGGAGTACGAGTAGGAATAAGAATAAGAGCCGGAGGGAGGAAAGGAACGAGAAACGGGAGGACCTGAGGAGGAGGAGGATACTTGCGGTGGCGCTGGCAGTTTCACTGGTGCTGGCGTGCTGGCGCCGGTGCCGGGCATATGGCAGTGGCCGCAGCAACAGTAGCAGTGGCGGTGGCGGCGGCAGTGGCA